TATATTGTAAATTTTTCTTTTGAAAAAAATAAATTACTACTTTTCATTAAATCTTCTTCATTCACAGTTGTTATTATTTGTGTTGTTGTTTTAACTGTTTGTACAAAAATGAAAAAATAAAATAAAATAAAATAAAATAATTTTTTTTTCATTTTACTTCGACATATTGGTATACCAGTCCAATTATTTGTATTACGTTGACATTGAATTTTTAGTGGTGGACTTAATGGATCATGTTCGAAATTTGGTAAACAAACTCGAAGAACATATGAATCATAAACAAATGCTAATGGATCTCGAACATATTGAAGCGAAACTAAAGAAAAAAGAAGAATTAATTTAGTCCAGCACGTTTTTTTTTCGCTTAACTTACCATTAAAAACATATGAATTTTCAACTTGTGATTCAATATCAAGTAAATCTTGTTTTGGACATGTCGGAATTTCTAAAATATTTTTTTTCACTTTTATATTTATTTTAATATTGTATTTACCGTAGCAATCATTTATATTTGTCCATTGACCATTGAAACAATCACTTATGATTTGATCATCACCATCCAATGTTTCAAAACCATAATTACATTCATAAGTAATTCTACCTGTATATGTTTGATCTTCCCAAATAGTAACATTATATACAGCAATATAACCATTTTTAATAAAAATAGGATAATCGCATCGTATCTTTTGTTCAGTTTGATAAGCAACTAGATGAATAAATGAAATTTATAAAAAAACGCAAATAATAAAAAAAATAAATTCTTACATTCACAAATTGGTAATGAAGACCATACGCCAGAACTTAAACATTCGACAATAAGAGATGTTTTACCATCAATTAAACGATAACCTTCTTCACATTCATATTCAAGATTACTTCCAACCTAGAAGAAAATATTTTTATATTGATCAATAGGAAATCATTTTTATGCAATCTAATACATCATATGTTCGCAACGTCTAAGCATGCAGGCATATAAAAAGAATATGGTAGATAGAAGTATACAAATAGTCTATCAAGAAAGTATACTTCATAATCGAATGCTGATGTAAAATATTTTCAGCTCGAGATTATATTTTTGCCTATTTATTTAAGCAATTTACATGATTATCTTTGAGACATGTATACATGGCCAAGTGAAAAAAATCTTATAGAGATCATATAAAATCTTACTGAGCATTAAATGTCATGAGATTTAATATTTATCTAATTATAAGATACTATACTATGAATCTGTATATAATTCATGCTAAGTTTACTGATCGAAATCTTATAAGATCATAATTTTAGATCTGATATATACAAATAATTTAGATAAAGATACTTCTATACATTTGAATCTATGTTTAAGCGATTAAATAGGTTCTAATTTAGACGCTAATTTTGTAGGATTGAAAACACATCTTTTAACGAGTAGTATTGATCTCCTAAAATAACGCCATAAATAATTTCATGTCATGACTTCCTACCAGATCTTTCTTTTTGAAAGTGTTGTCTCATCATCGTGTATGGTATCAAATTTGTGATAGATGTCGCTGAAAAAGTTTTTCGTAGTAAAATATATTCTAAAACTGTGTTTTATTTCCAATTAATTTGAATTCTTTCTGATAAATAATGCGATTTCGGTTAGAAAAACACTCTCTGCAAGCGTTTTTAGCTGGAGCTGAAAGCTGTAAGCATTACCGTGGGACACAGGCGCCAGTGAGAACAAATACGTGACACAGGTTAATCGAATCAATTCAATAGAAATAGGTCATTTTAATGATAAACTCAATAAAAATAACTTTTTTTGAAAATATTTTTCAAGTGCATATTTGCGTTTTCATTTAGGCTCTATAATTTTTGCGCAAAAACATACATATGCGCGTAAAGATTAAGAACTTTCTTAAGCAAAGCAGATGATAGAAAGCGAAAATAGAAGAAAATTAGATATTCAACATCTTGGGAAATACTAAAAAAAATTATATAGTTCCCTAAACAAAAAAGACTCATCTAATAAAAGTACTCGATTTTTATATTAAAAAGTAAAGAGACACATGCATAATGTAAATTGTTCACTTTTCAGTTTTTAATGTAAATACAAATTTAATCGAATAAAAATCTAACAATGTCATCCATTACCCGAATGTTAATCGAGATGTTTTTAGAATTTTTAAACTTCATCGAATTTATTGTTAAGATATAAAATGAAAATAAAAGAAATTTAAGCCATTTACTAACTGAATAACAACAATTTTCTTTAATCGAAAAATGATTTCCATACTCATTTTCATCTCTATATTCCAAAGGGAATTAACATCAACTTGATTAATTATACAAAGCAATAGATTGATTATGTACTATCGACGCAAATCCCTTGAATAAAGTATGAGATAGAATGAGAATTAGTTTTTATAATAGAATAACAACAAGAGTACAAATAGCAAAGAAAAATATTTACTATCTCAATCGATACATAAATCTTAGTATAAGATTTCTTAGACTTACCATATGCAATTGTCGATTATGTTCTGAAAATTTAAAATTCATTCGAGTGATACGTGATTGATACGGTAGATATAATTTCGAATAATTACACATTGCTTGAACATCTATAATGAAACAAAATCTTTAATGGAACAAAAACTTGCGAATATATTGAAACAACTATTTACATCTACAGCTAGGCATTGATGTCCAAGTACCATCATTTTGACATTGAATAATAAGAGATTCATTTGAAGTAGGATCAAATTCGTAATTATCTACACAACGTAAAGTAATAGTTGAACCAACAACAATTTGTTGAGGATCATTTTGAAAAAGAGTTATGTTATTCGATTCAACTTGTGTATTTAATGGATAAATATTAATAGGTAAACATCGTTTTTCAGCTAAAGAAAATAGTTAAAATAAAAAAAAACAATTTAAAAAAATTGCAAAATAGTACGAATGCATTGAACCATTGTTGACCATACGCCATTTTGACATGTAACAGTTTTATTTCCAAGAAGATAAAACCCCGGTGAACACATATATTCCATATTACCTAAATAACCTTGTTCTTTATAATATGAAACTCGATCACGTTTTATTAATCCGTTAATTAATTTCGGTGGTGGCGCTTTGCAAAAGAATGATGTTTCTATACATATAACAATAAAAATTTAACAGAATAAATAAAAAAAAAAAAAAGAAAAGAAAATAATCGAATCATGTTTACCATCAAAATCGGCAAAGCATAAAGGAAAAATCAAAGCATAAACAATAGATTCAAACAACATGGTATTCTTATTGAAAGATACAATAATGTACTGAACTTTGTATTGGTGATGATATATATTATTTGATTCACTGCTAAAATTCTTCTGAGAATTACTCCACAGGGCATTCTTTTTCTTTTTTCTTTTTACTTATAATAGAATTAATTAATGCATAAAAAAAGCAGCAGCATTAATTGGATTTCCAACAAATGATAATCAAATGAGATATTTAATTTGTAATTTATTCTATCATTTATCAAATCTATTTTTAAAAGAATTAGTTTAACATAATTATTTATGGAGTTGCAGTGCATGTATTTTTCAATAAAATGGTGTCCTTTTTTGAGATTATTTAATCCATTTTGTACGAAATAATTTTGAATATTATTTTTTTTTAATCATATGTAATGATATGCTTTTCATATGTACAAAGATGGTTAAATAGATTATCTGTTTTAAATTTTATTCTATATAACTCTTACGAATACATCCAATAAAAAAACATATCGAAAACTGACGAGGAGCGTCCCTCAACTGATTACTTATTTATGAATCGAGTCTATGTGCATCATGTAGGCTCTAATAAGCTATGAATGCTATGAAAAGAGTTCCAATCCATACCTTATTGCTGCCAAGATATTGTAATGGTCCAGTATGTTTTAGGTCAATGCCTTATCCTTCTCTAGAACATCAAGTAAATTGGTTTCTGAGTTTCAACTAAAAACTATCCACAGACACAATTCTTTATGAGAATAGTTCATTGCGCAAGTTTCAGATCTTTTCGTTGTCTCTATCCTAAGATGCAGCGCTTATATACGCCAGTAAATTCGATGTTCTTATTTCAGAATAGATGCGAGTCAAAAGACTTGAATCTTTCACAATAAACTATTTACACTAAGATCTATTTCTGTACAAACTCATAATGCAAAATTCTAAAATCAATTTTCCGAATGTTCTTGAGTGAGGCTACTACATTCATTCAAATAATGCCGTATCATTGCGATATCATCACAGCAGTAATATTTAGGCTCGAGTTTTTTTCAGAGTACTCATAGTTCGTTAAGGTCAGTTAATAATCGATTCGTTCTTTTAAGAGAAAAAGGAAACACTTTAGAAATTATAATAAAACTATCATTATGATTTCTCCATCGCCTTTCTAAGTTGTCTCGTTATAAACGAAAAACATTCAAGAAAATAGGCATTCGAAAAAAGAAATTAGTCTTTTCTTCTTTGATAGATATTAAAGTCACTAATGTATGTTTTGCCAAATCTCTAATCATTTGTAGTCATGGACAAAAATTTACATAAATATACGCATATTTTATGCTCACTAGCAACTCTACTGTCGCTAAAAATCTGCATATGAGTTTCTCAAGAATCTAATATGTTGAATTTGTGTAGAAATTCAATCTCTCATAAATGTATCTTATTTTTGTATCAAAATCTAGTGCAATACATAAATAAAAAATATTTGCATAGTTTTTGTTGTTTTGTTTCTGTAATAATATGTGTTGAAATTTGTATTATTGAACGATTATTTTCAAATTCATTAATCACACTTATTAGTAATCAAGCACCACGTAGATGAAAATTATGCAATTTCAAGAAAGGCACTAAGATATCATCATATTTCACTATTACAGTTAATCATTCGGTAAATGAATAGTATTTTATTTCTTAAAAAACAGAAGAAAAAAAAACATTCTTTTTCAGAGACTTATTGTTTGTTTGGAAGAAAGTATTTACATTCATAATATGCGTGATATGAAAGTATTACATACAATTCGTGATATACCATCAAATCGTGATGGTCTTTGTGCATTATCATCTAATGATGAAAATCCTTATTTAGCTTATCCAGGAAGTACAATAACGGGTGAAGTACAAATATTTGATACAAATAATTTGGTTTGTAGCATATATTTTTTTAGATTTAAACATATTTATTTCTTTTATTTTATATAGAAACCCGGTATTATAATAAGTGCTCATGAAAGTACACTTGCTGCAATGGCATTTGATATGACTGGCACTAGAATAGCAACAGCATCGAATAAAGTAAATCTTATAAATTTAAATACGAGTTTTTGATTAATAAATTTTCTGTTTTAAGGGAACAGTGATTCGTATTCATAGTGCAATTGACGGTCCGCGTTTATTTGAATTTCGTCGTGGAGTTCGACGGTATGTTTAAATAGTTTGTTTATGTTTATTTAATGATATTTGCATGTAATATTTTAGAGCTGCCATTATTTATTCATTGTCATTCAGTCCTGATTCAATGTTTTTAGCAGCTTCAAGTAATACAGAAACAATACATATATTTCGATTAATTCAACAAAAAGAAAAGTGTGTTTGCTACTTGTCTCGATTAATTTTCTTTGCATAAATCTCTTAAGACCTCCAGAAGAAACAAATTCATGGATAGAATTATTTATTTATCAATTAGGTAATGTTTCATATCATTTATCTCGAAAAGTAGCAGAAGTATTTACACAAGATCGTGCATTTTCAACTTTACATTCACGATTAACACGAATGAAAATAACGATTGCTATGAATATTTAAATAATATGAGATATTTTCTTTTATTTTGTGTTAGTCTTCTGTTTTTAGCTTTGATAAAACATTGAAATTATTTGTTGCTGGCTATGATGGTGTTGTTTATATTGATGAAGTAAATAAAAATGAAGATAAAGAACATTAACAAACGAATCAATATCTCGTTTTTAATAGGGTATGGGTGTGTTTCTATTTATCTTCTCGTCATATCCAGATCCACCCCTACACTTCAAAATGACTCACAGTCGTGCATATCAAAGTAAGGCACATAGCACTGAAGTTTCATCACAGTATGCACATTTAACTGTCATCAGTATGCATTGAATTGAAGATTAAGACTTCCAGTGTCGATTTCAGGACATGTCGGAATCAACGATGGTCGAAATTTAGAACTTCGATATCGTTGCTCGCTTTCGTCTTGTCACCGCATTCTTTGTCGTACTCCATGTGATATTCCGAAAAGACTTGAGCTGGAATCGAAGACTATAGTAGATCTAAATAGAGAATGAAGGAATTCATCTTTACATTTTATATCTTATTGAATCAGCTATCGAACTAACGTGACAAATGGATTCTAGATGTACTATATTTGCTTAGTCTTCACATTGATAGAAAGTTTTAATTATATTGTCGTTTAATTCACAAAGTTCGAAAATACCATAAAAAAGTGTTATAACAGGGTAATTTTCTTTTATCTTTTAGACTAAATTAAAGTCTTATGCGTGTAGTTTTTGGTTGCTTTTTTAGGTGCATCTTGTGCAGTTTTTTTTTCGCTCTATAGAATCCATAAGAAACTATTGTCGGCTCGGATGTTTTTTGGTACCTTTTTTCCATAAAAACACTTAAAAACAGTACATAATTTTCAAATTATTATGTATTTTTTTTGTCATGTTTCGAAGATTGACCCTTCATATATAGATGTTTAAAAATTATTTAAGGGAATTCTAAATATACAGTTTTGTAGAGAAAAACTTACTCTATATTTTGAGATATTATTCGATTTGATTTGATTGACTTTGAAGAACAAAGACAAGCACATACTAAGAACAGGAAAAAAGAAAAAAGCATGATGATAATTTTTTGAACTTTATGAAGACACTGCTAATGTCTTTTTCATATCTATTCAAAAGTAACTCAGAGAAGGCTAAAGTTTTGAATTTATAGGTTTTTTTATATGCTCATTCGTTTGCGATGATAAAACAGGTAGGTCAAAAAGTTTTTGTATGAAATGATTTCTCGACAAAACCCATGGACCGTCTCTTCATAAATATAATCATGAAAAATACATGCATAACACAAAATCGAATATAAATTGAATGATGAATTTCTTTGTTGACAGTTTTTCTTCGTCCTTTAAACAACAATAGTATTTTACTTGAAGAAATAATAATACAAACACCGTACTTTTTATTTGTTAAATATACTAATTAATTATTGATCAACGAAGTAAATTTAATCTTATTCAACAATCATTTGGTACTGTTAAACATGATTCCTTTAGTTTTTTTTTTCAACAGGCAATGTTTGCTTTTTCTAATGCATAGTCATTTCAACTTTACGCATTTTATCAAAATAACCTTCACTGATAAAAGTATCCTCATAATTCCCATTGTCTTTCTTTATGAAATAAAACTTTTCTCACGAGTAGGAAATATTCAGGGTTTTTTCTATTAGCTATTTATCAATTCACCAATAAAATTTCAGTATGTTACCTTTATCATGAATCACCTGATCGTTGATCTAAGCAACACAATATTAAACGATAGATATAATTATTTTCAATAGTATTTCAAGGCAAAAAAAAAAGAAATTTGTTAGAAAATCTTTCCAATCATCTGACTCGATTAATGTATAATAATAAATATTCTTGCAATGCGCTTTATTTATTTATTTGCTTTACCTGTTACGTTTTTTTCCAACAAAAGGAAAAAGCAAAAAAAGCTTTGAATGTCTAAAATATTTGTAAGAATCAAGGTTTTAAATTTAAATTGTTTAATTAAAAAAAAATTAATTTAGATTTTAAGAGTTCAATCATCCGAAGGCACAAAAAGAATTGACTGGACTGCACAAGATACATATAAAAAATTATATGAAAAAGTAATGAAAAACATTTTTATTACTTAAAACTAATTTTTTTTTTTTGTCTTTTAGGTTGCTAATATATTTTCATTACCATCATCAGATCATTTTATTTTATATAGAGAAAAAAATAAAAAATCACCGATACCTCATTCATCAATAAAAACAAGTTTTCGGTTTGAAAAAACAGAAGTCTAAAAATGTCTTTTTTTTCACTTGATTATTTCAAGGCATGGTGACATAATTTATCTTGTTTCAGAACAAGATAATTTATTTTTAAAAGAAAAGAATTCTTCATTAACTATCAAATCTGATAAACCAATAGTCAAATCATCTTCACAACCAAATTTTCTTTCAAAATCAATTGATAATAAAGAAGATGATGTTGATCTACAATTAGATAAAATCGATGGAAGAATACCTCGACAACAAGATCCACGATTGTATAAAAAGTTTTTTTTTTATATAAAATTTAATCTAATTTTTCGTTAGATGTCATCATAATCGACATGGAAAATGTTTGAATTGCATACCAATTGAGCCATATGATGAAGAATATTTAAAAAACCATAATCCACCTATTAAACATATGTCTTTTCAAGCTTACATTAGAAAATTACAAAACGAAATATCTAGTGATAGGTAATAGTTATTATTAAATCTTACTTTGTATTATTTAGTTTTGCTTTTTTCTTTTAATTACAAAGAAATACATTATCTGGTTTGGAAAATATTAGTTGCTCTATTAAAGATCAATGTTCAACAGGTCATGCTCCATGGCCAAAAGGTACAAGATTGATTTAAATAAATGAAAATTTAAAAAAGAAAACTTGTATAGGGGTTTGCACAAAATGTCAACCAAATCCAATGACTCTTATGCGTCAGGTAGAGACACTCTGAAGAAAATATTTCATTCTAATTGAACAGAAATTTATATGCATGAATTGTATAACATCTAATAATCGAAATAATTCAATGTACTTTGCAGATCTCTTCTTTTCATTCGGTTTAAGCTTTGAAAACTAATCTAATTTCTATTATTTAATTTCATAGAAACAGTATATTATTTAAAAATAGTTTCATATGTTATATTTATGTAATTGAATTCTGTACGATATGAAAAAATAATGACTTCACGCTACAAACTTCTTCAATATTATAATATCAAAGTTATGAAAGAAAATTGATCTGATTTTCTTTTCAGCCATATCGTCATGTAGATAATATAATGTTTGAAAATGGAAATATGGTAAATCGTTTTCTTGATTATTGGCGTTCAGAAGGTCATCAACGTATTGGTTTTCTCTATGGTCGATATGAAGTTTATGATGGTGTTCCACTTGGTGTTCGAGCTGTTATTACTGCTATATACGAACCACCACAAGTTGAAGGAAAAATATTTTTATTTATGTAGTTTCAAACATAAATCTTTATTCTAGGAAACATCAAAAGATAGTGTTGAATTAATTGTTCCTGATCCACATGAAGACATTGTTGATGAATTAGCATATTGTCTTGGTATTCGTCGTATTGGATGGATATTTACTGATCTCATACCAGACGACAAAAGATCAGGTGCTGGACCAGTTATTCATCATCGAGGAAATATGGTACGAGAAAAAATGAAGTACTAACAAAAATTTTTTTTAAGTAATTTTGTTGTTTTGATAGAATACATTTTTTTTAACTGCACAAGAATGTATAATGGCTGGTTGGTTTCAAAATAAATATTTAAATAAATGTAAATATTCACCAGATGGATATTTTGGTTCTAAATTTATTACTGTTGTTGTTACCGGTGATGCATCGGGACAAATTCAATTTGAAGGATATCAAGTATCAAATCAATGTATGGCTTTAGTTAAATCAGAAATTTTATTTCCGACTTTTGATGCACCTGAATTAGGTTATATTAAAGAAACAAGTTCAGAACAATATGTTCCAGATGTTTATTATAAAGTAAAATGAAATACAAAAACAAAACCATTTATTGAAATTTGTTTTTCATTACTGAACAGGAAAAAGATTGTTATAATAATGAAATAATGAAAATAGCTCGTCCATTACCTTTAGAATATTTAATTATTGATATTCCAACAGGTTTTCCAACAGCTAATACTGAAATACAATCAACGTTTAATGATAATTGTTCCATCATAATAACACCATTTTGTATTGAAAATCGAACAAAAACAAGTGAAATACAAGTAAAATTATTTATTTTGAGTAACATTTTATGATTAAATCTTTTCTCTTCAATAGGATATGGACACATTAGCATTATATTTACAACAATTCGCAGAGATTGACATTACAAAATCAAATTCAAAACCATATAAAGCAACGGATATTTTAGCTGATCTTCATTTATTATTGTATCTTGTAGTCAATGATATTTTTCAGTTTTCTATGGTATGATAAAAGAGAAATTTATATTCTTATATAAAATAATTCATAATAATCGATCGAATAAAGCTTGAATTTCTCCCTCGACTAGAGTCAATTTTCATCAGAAAAATCGAAAGTAAAATAAATGCATATAAGAATTTTAAGTTGAAAAATGAGCTAATTTTGACTCTTGCTGGTTGAATATTTCTCGAAAACGTTATGATATAGGACTGAAAATGTTAGCTTAGCTTAGCTTATTCATTGTAGTCCGCAGGGAAAACAACGATGGCTTCAGTTTTGAAGCGTCATAAAGTCCTTCTGTCATAGCTTTATGCAGCATAATCTAAAAGGAGTTTTGAAGTATAGAGTACAAATTTGGACCACTTTCCTTACCCCATTTCCTCACAGATGTGACAGGTACTAGTTTGAAATCATCACAGAGCAAATATCAATAATGTCTCATTATAGTATATGAACTCTTTCTGTATTGCATTTCTCGAGAATAAAATAAAAGCATGCTGAAGAAATGTGTCCCAAAA